GCCCTAGGAAAGAGGCAATGACAAACCACTTCTGAAAAACCTTGTCAAGAAAACTGCAGGGACTTGTCCAGGTAGTCTCCGAGAATCAGATACGATTGAACAGATAAAAAAACAACAACAACCTGACATTTATATCTTGCCTTTCAGGATTATTGAATTATTTCATAGTTGATCTGGATTTACCAGAGTTCTAAATGTATGGCTAAAACAGTTTTTATCAGAAACAATCTTGGACTACTCAGAAGTTTTAAGGTCTTAACCCATACCCATAATATCATCACTGAACAATAGTGCCGATTGAGTCCTGAGCAGATTGCCATTTGAATTATAGTCAGCAAACTTTTTCACTACTTGATTTCCCCCAAGGATACTGAAGAGTAACAAGAGAAGTGAATTATATTTATTGTTCATTGTCTAACTGGCCCAGTTCTTAAGTGTGGAATGCTGCTGGCATCACCATACCTGTTCTCACCAGAATCTTAACAGGGTTGAAGCACCATTCAAGGTGGGCCAATTTATCCTTGGTCTACCCAGGCTATAGGGTTCCTTAAGAATAAGCAACAGTTGTTGTAAAAAACTATAATATATATTGAAAAAATGATTATATGTATATGTTTACTCATATGCATCTGTAATCATGCACATGAGAGCCTGTTTGCTGTAATGGACTTGTCCAGGCAGTCACCCGAAGAATAACTTGAAGGCAGCAAAATTAAAAAATCAGGCATATGCCCACAAGTCCAATCCTAACTGAAAAATGCTTTTCACAATAAGAGGAAAGAAGAAAGTTGTAGTGATCTTCATAAGAGCTGGTGGATTCCAGAATCCCTTTGTTGGCACAGGTGGCATTTTTGCTGCTGTTCTTACTATCTACTCCTCTCTAGTCTTTGGGAATCCCATATTTGGACCCCGGATTTCAGTCCCGACATCCAGTTCTAGCAGCATTCCTGACTGCCGTATAATATTTCTCTATTTTTAATATTATTTTTAATATCAGCAATATACTTTATGATATTACTTTTTAAATAATAATTTATGCACAGATATGGTGTGTATATGACATACCGTTCTGACCCCATTCTCAAAGGCCTGGCGTGTTAAAGAAGCTGGTCCATCAACTGTTTTTCCATCATCATCAGGACCCCAGCTAGCACTGTAGATATGTATATGCTGGGGATTGAGGCTCAATGATTTTGCTTCTACCATGTCTGTAACATCACCATCTAACATCCGCACTCCTTAGGAGGGGGGGGAAAAAAGAAAAAAATGATTTGACATAATGCATTTATATGTCCACTTAGCAACAAATACTCCTTGTTAGTGGCTTACAAGAAACCAACATAAAATATTCAAAATACAGTGGTACCTCGGGTCACGAACGCTTCTGTTCACGACCAATTCGGGTCACGAACAGCTCCATTCGCAAAATTTTGCTTCCGTTCGCAAACGCCGGATCGGGTGATGAACAGGATCCGCGGCCATTTTCCCTCCCATGACACGTGGTCGTGGCTTCCGGTGGGGAGGGGGCCTCTCCCTCCAAGCAATAACTGCCTCCCCACCCGCCTTCCTGTCCTCCACGCCAGAAGTCGCGTCGAGCAAGGTTAGCGTTCTCTCTCTTTGTACTGTACTTTGTGTCATATTTTTGTGGTT